TCCCTGTGCTAATTTGAATAAACAGAATATAAAATTTTACTTCTTTTAGAAAGGAAAATTATATGAAAAAGTTTTGTGAATTCAGAATCAAGTGCTAGCAGCGAGGGTTTTGTTGTTTTTATTTCTTCTTTGACTTAAATCTCCTCACTAAAAAAAAACAAAGGTAGAATTTTCTTAGTAGGCATTACTGCTTTCTGTTAAGAACTCAAACTCTGCCTGAGTTCTGATTTGTTGATTTTTTTGTTTTGTTTTTTTCTAGACACTTTCATAATTTCTGCTGAAATGCATCAACAACAGCTACAAACTTGTGACAAAACTCCTGTGCAATTCAGGGAAGCTGCTGTGAGACTGAATTCCCCTGCCCCCCCTTAAGTTTACCTTATGGTTTGAGAGGTTGAATAGAAAATATTTTGATAACCCAGGATTACCCCTGTGTCTGTCCATCTTCCTGAAAAGACAGCCTAGATGTATTGGATTTTTTGAGGTAGAAGCTAAGTGAATAAATATTCTCCCCATAAGAACAAAGAATAGCTGATTGCATACTTTTTCCAAGAATTGAATAAAGCTATTTACTAGCTACTGAAATATAGACTCCTTAATTCTATGGGGTATGTAAAAAGGTAATTTATCTCTTTCTTCTTTTTTTTATTTTTTATTCTGAAGAAGCTGCTGGGCTTTGATATCAGTGCTTTCCAAAAGAACTGACTTTTCAAAAATAATGAACTGTCCACTCAACTAATCTTTTTAGGACTCAGGAGGTAACAATGGGAGGATGATGTTAAAAATAAACAAAGGTGCTAGCATTAAAATCTAAAAAAAGATCGACAGAAGAACAATACTAGGCTTTTCTTTCTCAGAAGCAATAAGAGCAGGCTGATTCATTGATCATCCTGTGTGTTATGGAACTATTATTCTCTGCATAGGTGCATCACTATTAATACCCAATATTTCAGGTCTTTTGATTTTTTGTATTATCAAGACAACAGATCCTCTGCTGGTGTCAACTGGTAGAGCTCAGCTGTACTAAATGGAGAAATGTTGATTTATGTTACTCAGGGAAATGGAAAAGTGGTTGAATTCTTTCAAAGCGTGGAGGTTTGTATTTGTTCCATTTTCCCGCTCTGAAGATGGTGTTGCTTGTCACTGCTACATTGCTTGCTTCTTTTCAGTCTTTTTGAATTGTCACTGGCCAAAAGTATTAAGAGCTGTGTCTGTTGGCTGACTCTTCCTATGCAAACCATCCCTGTGAAGCTCAAGACACTTGTCCTTGTTTATTCATGCTTGGATTCACACTGTTGTTTCCATATTCATGCAAACATAATGTGTCGTTCTTCCTTAAATGTGCTGTTGTGATCCATGACCAGAACAACCAAACAGTCCTGACTTCTGCTGCTTCTGGCCCTTGTTGAGTTTCTAGAGGTTGCGAACACAAATATTGTTTGCATTGGAAAGCTGTCTTCAGAAAAGAATTAGAGTTGTCTTCCTTTAATTCCAGATTTCTGGTTAACAACAGGTAACTTTTGCAGAGCTAGAGAGAAATGGGGACAGGAGAAGGAGGAGAGGAAAAAAAAGCTTTCCCTTCCCCATGGTGGACAAAAGTCCTTTCTGTTTCGCAGACAGACATTCCAGACAACCTGTTTCACCGTTGCGAAAGCATGTGTGAGTCTTTCTTGGGGCATTAAACAGCAGCATTGTTTGGACATTCGTATTACTCTATTCGGGCTGCTTTTGGTATTTGTGCCCTGACAGGTGTTAAAATAGGACAGACAGCCTTTCAATGAGTACTTTTCCAATATATTATCATAGGATCATAGAATGGGTAGGGTTGGAAAGGACCTTAAAGATCATCTGGTTCCAACCCCCCTGCCATGAGCAGGGACACCTTCCACTAGACCAGGGTGCGCAAAGCCCCATCCAACCTGGCCTTGAACACTGCCAGGGAGGGGGCAGCCACAGCTTCTCTGGGCAACCTGTGCCAATTCCTCACCACCCTCGTAGTAAAGAATTTCTTCCTTATATCTAATCTAAATCTACCCTCTTCCAGATTGAAGCCATTACCCCTTGTCCTGTCACTACATGCCCTTGTAGAAAGTCCCTCTCCAGCTTTCTTGTAGGCTCCTTCAGGTACTGAAAGGCTGCAGTAAGGTGGTCTCAGAGTCTTGTCTTCTCCAGGCTGAACAGCCCCAACTCTAACAGCAGAGGAGTTCCGCCCCTCGGATCATTACCGTGCCCTCCTCCGGCCCCGCTCCCACAGCTTCAGGTCTGTCCTGTGCTGAGGGCTCCAGAGCTGGACGCAGCACTCCCGGGGAGTCTCACCAGAGCAGAGCAGAGGGGCAGAATCCCCTCCCTCGCCCTGTGCCCACGCTGCTGGGGATGCAGCCCAGGGGACGGTTGGTCTTCTGGGCTGCCAGCGCACACTGCCGGGTCATGCTGAGTTTCTCATCAACCAGCATCCCCAAGTCCTTTTCCTGAGGGCTGCTCTCAATCCATTCTCCACCCAGCCTGTATTTGTGCTTGGGATTGCCCTGACCCATGGGCAGGACCTTGCACTTGGTCTTGTTGAACTTCATGATGTTCGCACGGGCCCACCTCTCAAGCCTGTCCAGGTCCCTCTAGATGGCATCCCTTCCTTCCAGCGTGTCAACCGCACCACTCAGCTTAGTGTCGTTGGCAAACTCGCTGAGGGGGCACTCGATCCCACTGTCCGTGTCACCGACAAAGATGTTAAACAGCGCCGGTCCCAATACCGACCCCTGAGGAATGCTACTCGTCATTATAAAACACAAACTATTTACTGTAGGGAAGTGTTAATCAATTAATATATAGTTTTACTAAATTAATATAGCTTTTGGATAGTTCAACACCTTTCAGCCTAGAAAGAGGCTGAATTGTAACAAACGTTTCTATATAGTGTGAATTTCCGTGTAAGTAGTGTCTTCAAACACTGAGCAGTAAGAATCTATGTGTAAAAAAATTAGGTATGCAAGTTACTTTTTGCAGGATTATGAGCAACATCATGACAGCTTAGTTTTACATTTCCTGAACCCACAGACTGAGCTTAGAGAATAACAGAAGTCAGTTTTTAGCCCCATTTTGAAACTCTCTCCAGTCATATTTGTAGTACGTGTTAAAATACACCATGGATTGTTTTGGTCATGCTGTGAATCCTGCTGTGATGAAGGTTTGTTTTCAAACTCAGAAAATATGCCCTTCCACAAAGTTCACAGTGCAGAAATATGATAGAATAAAAAGAAAGCTAAATATGTCTGATTCCCATTTGAGAGCAGGAGCAATCCCATCTGAACATAATTTTCAGACTTTACATCATATCATGTCTTAAGAAAAAAGAAATCACCAGTACAAAGTCTTAAGCTAAACATTTGCTCAAATATATCAGCTCTGCTGGTTGATAGAACATGTTGGTGCATTTGAAAAGTTGTTTGCCAGTTTAAAGTAATCATGGGGTTTTGTTTGGGTGTTTTTCCTGTGCTCAACTACTGCTGGTCTCATTGCAATGAAACATTAAAATCTCCCACCAAAAGGGAGCAAAGTTAGGAAAATGCAAAGATCTTATGAAATCCCACTTCTGACCTTTAATAAACAGAAGTTATTTAAGGAAGACAGAAAGATCTACCCCAGACCTCCTAATGTAAAAAGCAGAGTTTCACCAGATTTTATTCAACTGGATGCCAGTTTCTTCTCCCTAGAAATTTGGTAGGATTAACATTTCGCACCAACTCACAATCTGCTTTGGGACTCTCTGACTTATAGTTTGGGTTAGGTAATGAGTTAATAATTCAGGGTCATTTTACTCACTGACTTATGACAAAATTTGTTACGCAAAAGGATATAGTGTTGGTTCCATTATAAAATTAAATAAAAAACTGGTCTTATTCATAGTGCAAATTATTTCACTAGTATGAAGAACACTTCATGAAGTTCAGTTTTGGGTTTTTTGGGGGGGATTCAGTTGAACAATGAATTAAATCTCATTCTTCGCTACCTAAGAAAATTGGGGAAATTTGTTAGGAAACAGATACAGATTCCTATTCCTGCGCTAATCAAGCTTCTGTGTTATTAACAGTATGCGGGAGCAATCTTTATGAGATTTCCATCTCCTTTAAGGTCTTCTTGGAAGGAAACTTTTTTGTGTGTTACTTTTAGCTGCATTTTGCAAAGTGACTGATGTGTGCTGAAGGATCTGGCTTTTCTTCCAGAGCGTAATGATCTTGGTATTTGGAAAATGTTATTCTCTGTGTTGCTTAAGATGACACATGGTGACAGTTGCTGAACTAAGAACACCAGTAAATCAGTTACTGAATTCTACAGATTCTGTAGATGATGTGTATACTGCTTGAGTGACAGTGATACCTCCAGTGGGAGTACATGTGGTCTCTTCTCCCAGGTAACTGGTGATAGGACGAGAGGAAATGGCCTCAAATTGCACCGGGGGAGGTTTAGATTGGATATTAGGAAAAATTCCTTTACTGAAAGAGTGAATAGGCTGCCCAGGGAAGTGATGGGGTCCCCATCCCTGGAGGTGTTCAAAAAGTGTGTAGATATGGCACTTCAGGACATGGTTTAGCAGGCATGCTGGTGTTGGGTTGACGGTTGGACTTGATTTTAGAGGTCTTTTCCAAACTTAATGCTTCTATGATTCTATGATTAAAACGAGCACTACTTATGGATTGTAGGATAGCACAAACTTTGGCGTCACATGATAAAACATCTTTCCCATATAGATTACAGGTCTTAGATACTTACACATTCATTATTCCTGTGATACCTGTACATCTCAAAACATACCTTCCTCAGAAATTCCCAAGAGGTAGGAAACTCCTATAGCCTGTTGAGATAGGTCAGAAACCCAAAGTTAGAAGAGAGAGTGATTTCTGCAAGGTAACGTAGCTAGTGTGTGGGAGGAAGCAACTGAAGCAGTGTCCTAACTTTTGGCACATTCTTCCTCTTTAGTCACCTCTGTTATACTTCATTTTGCCTAGAAAAGAGAAGAAGAGGAAAGACAAAAAGGCGAAGAGCAAATAAGGCAGCAGGAAGAAATCCGAGCAAAAGAGTTGTATCTGAGCCTCAAGCAAGCTCAGCAGCATAGTCAACACAGCGACGATGACCAGGAGTGGGAAGAACAGTGTGAGTAAAATTACCTTCACAGGATTAATGCATTTCTAAAAACAAATAAAAGGAGATTTGTAGAATGGAAAAAGATGTTGCCAAAAATCTCTTCTACCTAGAGCAATGCAAAATGCTATATTATTTTGCAGGAAATTACCAGCTTGACCTTACAAACATAAATTATTGTGAGTTTACTAATTTCCCATTTTTTTCTGAAGAAGAGTCCATGTCAATGTCTTATAGAAAATCTTTCATGTGTAGTGTCTGAAATCATTACTTTTTGTCTAGTGTAATTAACTAACAGTTTTGGCATAGTAATAATAATTCTGGACACAGTTATTTTGACAGCTTGTCCTCAGCTATCTCTGAAGAGGTAAAATCTGTCTTCATCTGTGTTTTAATTATTTCCATATGGTGATGTGGTCAAGCTATAATAGCAGCACTGAAACTCACTTCATTTCAAAAGATTACAGTAAATAATACTTAGATACTTGCCCGGAAAAAAATCCTGATGATGATGATCTCACTTTATGGAGGTGCTCTTCCTTTTTAGCCATCCTGAAATTCTTTATTAATTTCATCATTGTGATTAATTTAAAAATACATTAGTGATTTTTAAAAGCCTGTAAGGAATAAAACAAATATATTGCTATATATATATACACACATACATAATGTAGGTAAGTAAAAGTCCATGTTATGAGTAAGTAAGGCTTAATAGGTTATTGTGAATAAAATGTATGTCTACTCCATCTGTAGGCTATTGTATAGGTGGCTTTAGAAGTAGGAAATTCGCTTGTGGTAAGAATTGTGCATTTTTATTGGGGGAAGAGTATTTTTTACTTGCCACACCTATACTGATTTGATTACTCTTCAGAAAAAGGAAATGTAACGATTGGAAAGTTTTAGCTTATGTGGGGTTATTGTATTAATTATATAAAACACAAAAGTTAATCAACTAATACTAAAAATGAAGTTTTAGAGAGCTGATAGTCGTATGTGTTGCATGAAATACCTCATGAAGTAGGAAAAAAATGTTGCTGTAGTGTTGCTTATTTCATGATAGAAGTAAAAGAAATGTTTCAAAATATGAAATGAGTTTATTTTATAGTTTTAGTCATCAGTTGAGGAGTTCCTGAAGACTAATTACTGAAGTCCTATTGCCTGCAATTGATGTGATAGTGAATCATTCCGTACAACATGAATTAAATCTCTGTAAGATACACTGGTGCAATTTTCCAAGCTCATAGCAGGCTACATCATTTTTGGTCAATAAAACCTCTCTATATTACACTGCTAATAAAGAGAAGGTAATTATTTCCTGAAGAATTATCTAAGTCTAGGTGTATGTGTTTATTCAGAAAGGAAAACTGTAGCTTTCTGTATTTGGGGTGTTTAAGAGCAGAATGAGTTGTGGAAAAAATAGCCCTTTAGTTTTGTAGAAAATGAGACATCGTCAATTAGCATCAGCTGGCAACCTAGCATAGAGCATGGTTTATCATTTCTTGTATGGTAGATAAGGAATGAAAACACATTTGCAACCATGTTGTTAAAAAAAAAAAGTCCAGCCTATCTTTACACAGAAATTATCGATAAAACAAAATACTGTAAACATTATTAAAACCGGCTATCCTCTTACTGTTGCATTAAAGAGCTAACTGAGGTTTGAAATCGTCATCTCAGTTTTCTCAAAGAACACTGGTTGTACAGGGACAGATTTCAGAAATGCAATAGAGGAGTTATGGAGCAAGCTATGAGTAGTTTTTACCGTGGTTTCTGTAATGGCATTCTTGGTCTGTCAAAACACTTTCGACTGCATCATATGCTGGTGGATATAATCTATGACCAGTATTTTTTCTGGTGTAACCTTTGGAGTATCCTGTACGGTCTGAAGGTATTCTATCACCTTCAGTCTGTGTGCCTCAATACCTATAGACCTGTCTGCTTATGGTCAAGAGAGTGACCAACTGCAGCTCACATGATTTCAAGTTATCGAGACTGGTTGCCAATGATAGTGCTGTGGGGCAAAACAAAGCTCAGCACCTTCTAGCCAGCGGCATCGCCGTTGGGTTTTGCAGCCTGCTATAAATTCTGTGCTGCCAGAGTTTATGCTGTTATCAGTAACTGATTTAGCATTAAACTAACTGCGGACTAATGACTAGAGTGGATCACATCCTTTTTTATCCTCTTATGCTTATCTCAGTGTCTCAATTTATCCCAGCTGTTTTGAGGGCTTAGAACTGTGTTCCATTTGCAAATGGGTGCGACAACTTAAGAGATGAAGATGCAGTATTTAGTGCCTTACCTGAAACCGGTTCCTGGCTGGTTTAGACTATGCTGTCAGGCTTTGCACTGAGCTTCCTGAGGAACACTAACACCTTCCATTTCCTTAACTTTGCTGCAGAAGCCAGAACCTCTAGCAGACAGGCAATAACAGATATTTGGAAGTGGGAACATCTGAAGTTGTTATGGAATGAACTAGTACATCAAGTTCACCAGATTTTTCACTTTTGATTTCAGTTTCAACTTTTTTTTTTTTCATTTTTATGCTAATACTTTCATTTTGTCTTCAAATACTGCTTTGGGACGCTGAGAGGAAATATAGTCAAGTTAGGCAAAGCTAGCTGTTTCTCATCTTTTCTGAGCAATAAATAAACGCATGAATGTATAAGAGAATTACAGGCAGATGTAATATTAACATCTTTTGTCTCTACGTACCTGTGATGGAAACCATACTGCCCATTAGGACCAAGGCCAGGCTCCTTTGTGTCTTGCCTCCTTGAAGTCAGCCCTTTGTATTCAACAGTGCTGGGGGGCAGTGCTGAAGAGGAACAGCAGTGCTAGAGCCGCTATTGTGGAGAGCAAATGTAGCAGTGATATTGATGACACTACTAATTTATTTAGTAGATGGAATTTAGAATATGATGAGGATTCATCTCTCCTCATCACATTATCCCTCAGCTGTTTATTGCCAAGGCAATAAGCAAAGTGTTGCTAATATTAGTTTCCATTGTTCAGTTCAGTTTGCTTCTGCTGTTTGCCTGATTGTGCCAAATAACAGTAAAAGCCCATAGAACCACTGTGTTAATTGAAATACATCATTTTAGTGCTTTTTAATATACTGAATGACAAATATAGAGTGACTTCAGAAATTGGTACTAAAAGGAAAAAAACCAATGTTGTAAGAGCAATTATACACTTGGATTTCATATAATGAATATATGTTGGTGTATTTTAGAGGGCAGTTGTGAGTTAACATGTGGAACAAGTGTATTGGTTGGTAAATGAAAAGTTGAATACTGGAGGAGACTGATTATAAGAGTCCACTGTTCAAAGCTTCTATTCCTTGAAACTGAGAAGTGAGAACTGAGGCTAAACTTGGACAGAGTGTATATATTCTGATTAGTTCTGGACCTTTCTATGCGCTGTTCCATTTTGTAGATTTCTAGAGTATTCAGTAAACAATACCCTATATCATGGTCGCTAAGTGTGACCTCCCTCTGTGAGAGGAGAAAAGGAATCTGCAAAACATAATAGGAAAAACTGTAGTATAAATATTCATCTGACTGAATATTGCGAAAGGTATTCTGTTAGTACACTTACAGACCCCTGCAAACTGCATCAAGCAATGAAGTGCTCGGATACCATCTGACCAGCTGTACTCATCTCCAGACAAAAATTATTCCAGTAAAAATGTAAATAGAGTTGAGTGACTTGATCTATTCTTATGCCTTTCCCTAAGCACCCACTTTTGGTTTCTGCTGGAAATAGGATATCAGGCTGACTCATTATAGCTTCTTTTATATTATTCTATTTTTATGTGCTTCTGCAAACTATGTCTATGAATTTATTTTCGCCTGAATTTTAAAGGAATTTCTGTTTGTTTGGTACTTATCTTTCACAGAAATTCAAGTGAGTGAGTTTACTGGCAGGAACATTTGATAAAATGCTGAATTTTAAAGTGACTAGTTCCCAGTTCAGCTATGCATTAACCAAGCAAGTGCTCAACCTTAAGTATGTGCTCACAGAACTTCACTAGGTCTCAGCGTGCATTGTTGAATAGGGGATTATTCACGTGCTTTCAGGTAAGAAGATTGCTGTACGGGAGCCATATTGCAGAGTATTTGTGGGAAGTTATTTTCCAATTAGGTAAGGGAAAAAGACCGTGTGATTTATATGTGCACTCAGAAATTTTCAGGACTGAATTTTATCTGTTAAGTAGTCATTTTGAGTTGCTCATAAACAAGCTTACAAGAATTATTAACAAGGGTAAAGCTGAAACAAAATAATTAAAAAATGAGGATGCATATTAATAGCACATGGTTTTTTTCTGCTTTCACATAGCTCTGACTAACTCACAGCTCTTCAAAAACACAAAGTAGATTACACAAAGTGGAGAGTTGCTAGTCTTTCACAAATTATTTGATCAAGTTCAGCTGCAGCACAGCATGAATTAATCCTCATCTGTATCAAAAGATTTGGTATTAGAATTTTACCAGGACTGCTGACAGGTATTTCCCAATCCTACGTGAGAGTATAAAAGGCAATTTTGCATTTGCACTCAAAAGGCAACTTAGGTTAGCATAGAGAATAACAGATTTTCATAAACTGTTCAAGGAAAACAAGGCAAACTCAAATTGAGATCTATAGGATCATAAGAGCTATTGCATATACAAGCTTTGTGGTTTCTTCTTTGTTGTTAGAGTACATTCACACCGAAGGTCATGTAGACATGTCCAAGTTGGCTTTACACTATTTATTTCTAGTAATGATAACTGTATAATCATGACAGGACAGACCGCAGTCTGGATATTTTCATCGGTTTTCCAGGAGGGTTTGGTAACCCATTTTTGACCTGCTCTGTTGTAGCTAGAATCATGTTGGCACCTGACCTATATAAACAGCTCAGACATTTCTACACAAGTTACTGTGCCATCAGGACAGAAGTGTGCTTTATTTTGTGAGCGCTGAAGGAGGCTGTACTTGTTGTTAGTATCACCAACACGTGAGGAGAAGACTGGTAGCGGAGGTGGACTTACGAGACCTGGCTGAACTGTAGATTTCCTGTGAGCTTGAGAAATCAATCAAATTCCTCATTTCCCACTCTTGTCAGTCCTGACATCGTTCCGTAATATAAAAGGAAGATGAAGAAAAAGTAAACTAATATTTGTAGTAACTCTTTCTGCTAGATTTATGGACCTATGGTGATGATTCAAAGAGTTTAAGGACAGAAGACATCATTGAGATAGCTAATCTCCCTACTGAATATATTGACTATTGAATTTAATGCTTTGCACCGGGGTCATGCCAGAAGTACATTTACTGTAAAAGGACAGCCAGTCAAGAAAACTAGTCTGTTCCTACTTAAGACAGTACTAGAAGTCCTGGCAACTTTTGCTTTCTTATTGTGAGAAAGGCTATGACGTGTCCTGAAATGCAACAAGTAATGGAGAATTTTGTGGCTTCTTTGATCTTAGAATATTTGTGCTAGACTTGATCCAGACATAAAATTTTTATTTCTAGTGAGATGGTTCAGCGCCAGAAAGAAATATGAATATTCACTAAATTCTATTTTAAGAAAAAACTGCTACAGAAATATATCCAGATTTACCTTCAGGCTTGGAGTGTTTATCTTATCTCAAGACAGATAAATTTGTGGGAGATGTCGTTATGGGAGGACGATTCGTCTGGCACAGGTCATCTTGTCTGGAGTGTAGTGGAAAAGTTTTTTGTAGATTCCTGACCACAATGGCTGGATGGATCTTTACCCACAGTAGTATTTCCAGTCACCAAAACCAGTTATTGATGCCAGTGACTTTGATTATTTCCCCGACACTAAGTCCCTTAACCAGCCAGAGAGTTTTGAAAGAAACTTGGGAGAACATAGCAACACAGGATCCACAGTAGGAGCTGTACTAGGGAGCTCCTAAAGATAGAGGAATGTGAGGAAAGAGAGAGAAGTTTCTGGGAATAACTATAAGGAATGGGACAGGGAGAAAATCAGGACTCCAGTAATTAGAAAAAATGGATTAAGAGACCCTATGCGTCCCTATGGTCAATGATACAATTCTTCAGATACCTCCGTTGGGAAATTTCAGTAAAAATTCTTCATAACATGAGAGATGCCTGTGTGTGTGTGTGTATATATATATATATATATAATATCTATATGCATGCATTTAGATATCTATGGCATGCCATCTTCCCTATCCAAACATATATACAGACACATATACACGTGTATGGGTACATACATAAACACGTATACGTGAATGGACAGGGAATGCTGCATGACATACATACTTTAAAAAAGTATGATGGTTGACAGCTGCAAACTATGCTACCTCTCCCTACTGTTTTGTGATAAGAAATATTAACATTTGACAGTTTGGGAAAATTGTAGTCCGGGTCACTAGCTTCTGATGATACAGATTTATTAGCTAGCAAAAATACAGTAGGAATGTCTGTTGAAAAGAGTATCTATTGTTCAGGAAAGTGGGGCATGAAGACACCTTGCCTTTTTCATTACCAGGCAGCCTGTACATCAGTAGAAAAGAATCCCAGAAACCTCCAGGCAGTCTGCCCTCGGTCTGCATACTGTGAATGTGAAAGGCAGTCGCTGGTTTCCAAATGTCTTACCAAGCTGCATTGCACTCACCTTCCTTACTGTCTCTAATGGTGTTGCAAACACAAAGTCCACATTTAAAGCAGCCATTACTGAGTGGCTTTACAAAGGATAAATCACAGAAATTTTGTAACTAATATACTTGAGCCATTCAAGTAGCATATTTAGATGACATTATCTACCCTTAAAAATAATGACCTGCAACATAAATAGTGAAACCTGTTACTCATGTTTTTTGTGCTATACAGTTGCTTGTTACTGTGTTCAGCTAAAACTACAGAGTATGTAGTTAAGAGCTAGTTGTATACGTATGAAGCATCTATCACTCATTTATTATGCTGTCTTCATGAGCTTTTAGTCCTGCATACCTTTCTACCTATGACAATGTTCTAGAATTCTAAGCTTAAATGTCTTTTGTCTTTCCATCATTTGTCCAGAGGGTTTTATTTCATTTCATTTTGCGTTAAGCACTTTTATTTCTTGATTCCATTAAACCTTTTCATAATTTGGACAAATCAATTTATAATTCTGCTTGCTTTAAATCAGGAGCGTAAACCAGAAGCATGCAAACAACCTAATGAAATGCAGCTGTCTGGTATTATATCATGCGTTCCTAGTCACAGGTATAATCACAGTAGAGTAAGAAATAGCGTGTGCAATTTATGAGTTGGGTGTGATCTAATCCGGGATACTCATGGCAGGATTGATAATTGCTACTGGAGGCAATAGCTTCCTTCTTTAATATTTGCTTCACTGCATGTTAAAGGTTTGTTTTGCTCTGGAATAGTTTGCCTGCCTAAAGTTATTTATGTCTCAAAAAAAGTCGTCAAAATGGGGCTTGAGGCACCAGAAAAGAGCTGATAGATAATGAATATTTGTGGTACAATTCTTGGTGCATTTAAGTTACAACATTTTGAAGACAGGATTGTTAGTACATTACTTTTAAAGTGAAAAAGCTTTAGTGAAAGATGCCTAACCTGCAATGACCAGAGCAGCAGTCTCATTTCAGTTTATGGAAATATGTAACTCCCTGGTCAGTGCCAGGGAGGTGTGTATTAAATCTTCCAGTACAGATTCTGGTTCTTTATATGCGATTTCAGAGACTCAATTGCGAAACAACCCCATCCATAGCATCAGCATGCCCTTTCCAATGGCTATTAATTTCTCCACTGTTACTGAAACCATTTTTAGTTTGCAATTTTCAAAGTGGAGACTTCTGTGACTTTAAGTACTGTAACAAATATAGCATCTGCTTGTCAGAAAAAATGCGACATTAACAACAAAAAGTATGACCTACATGTTAATTTTTATAATTGTAAATTTTGGGAGTAGCTCCTGCAATTCTAATTATGTGCATAGTTGCAAAGAATTCTGTTAAACACAGACTTAATTTTAAGCAGTAGTTACCATTCTTTCTTGAAACACAAATCTTGGTGCACTGCCAGTGGAAAAGATGTCCCGAAGCAGAATTTCTCTTATTACAGCCAAAGCAAGTGTCAGATGTAATCGCAGTGTGTAGAGGCTCAGTTATTGTTGGTAGTGATCAGACCATTAATAACTCAAGTCTGGCATGCTTCTTCTAGTGGTGGGCCTGTATGTGAAGCATCAGGGAAGTCATCCAGTTAGCCATCTCTTTGGTAGTGCACTGTAATTTGAATGTTCTTAAAGTCAGGTCATATAAGACACAAAGATAGTAAGTTCTATAAGGAAAGGGGTAAGTGGCTGTTTGTATTTCTAAAGTCTCTCCTCCCCACCCTTCCCATTCATCCCACCCAGTGCGCCGCTCCAAAGCCGCAGATGAGGAAAGGAGCCACAAAGCACGCAGGGCCCGGGATGAATACCGACGACAATCCTTGCGTGCCATCCAGAAGGGAAGAGTGGCTGGCCTGAGTAATTTGTTCCAGGGAACAAGCTTGAATAATGATCAGGAGACAAAACTGAACAACAGTGCGAGTCCTTTGCTGTCTCTCTCTGCAGCATCCAGGTTGGTTTGTACAGGAGTGACTTTGAAATAGTTTTCTGTTGAATTGCTCCCTCCCCAGTCCCCACCATTTCAACCACCTCTTTACCCGTAGTTGGAAATTCTCAGTCTTGCTCTTTCACTATGACCAGAAAAAGAATGTTTAAAGAAAAATGAAAACAGATTGAGTACTTAATGTAAATTAAATGACATTTATTTTTCAGAGAGATTTCTTCGAGTTCACAGAGAGAGAGATGGGTCCTTCGACAGTCAGTATTAGATTAGGATGCAAGGCTGTCATATGGAGAAGTCAAATGGGCAAATTCTTAGGCAAGTGTTCAGCCTCAAGCCTAAAACTGCCTGCTGCTTAACAGCTCTGAAACATTTTACAGAGCTGTCATGCTCCTAAGTTTCGTGGTTTTCAAGGGTTTTTTCAGGCAAAATCAAGTGTCTTTGGTGTTTATTAATCTTTCATCTGACTATTTAGGGAGCGGCATGGCTTACAGAGGAGGGTAAGAATCCATACTGGCAGATGGGTGCTAGAAAGTTGACTAGTCACTCTACTTTTTTCCTGGTTGTATCTTATACCATTGATTTGGCTTCATGTGCTGATAAAGGCAATGTAAGCACTGACAGGATGGTAGCATTGACTACTACTAGAAAAACAAAAAAATCCCAACAACCAATATCTAAGATCAGAAAGGAAAGAGTCCCATTACCTTGTTTTTCTTTACCAGTCAGTGTAGCGCCAGAGAGAATCAGGAATCAGTCCCTCATTGTTTGGGAATGTATTCTGCTTTGGCAAGTTCTTTGCTCTACTATGCTGAGACACAGAAGCTCTCTGGAAACAGCAGCCAAAACTCCCAGTTTGAGGAGGAATCAGAATTTTACTCAGAACAGGATCTTTAAAATTACTATCAAATTAACTTGTCAAAGGACTTCTCTTCTTGTTTTTCAAGCTACTTAAAGTCTTCTTCAAATTGAAGTAATAAAAGCTCTACTAGAAGTGGCAGATTTTGAAAAAGACATTCCATAACTTTGGCTTGAAGTTCTAAGCTTCCTCTGAGCTGAGGTTAGTTACTATAGAATTTAGTGGTGCTAGATGTGATTGTTTCCAACAAGAACCTGAAAAAAAGCTGAAAAATATTCTGATCATGATCCAGCTCATGTTCAATACTGTTTATCTGTTTCTAAGCTATGCCTATACTTCAAAAAACAGGCAGTATTTATTTGCCTTATCTCTTCAGGCTCCTCTTTTTCAGTGTCCATGACTTGATTGTGAAGGTATCAGGAAAAATAAAAGTTGCTTTATACATGTGCCATAATAGTGAATATAGATAAATGTAAAACACCCAACACTGGTATGGTGAAGCAGGAACAGATGTTTGTCTGCAATTTTACTTTGCCGGTGGCCCGGGAGGTCAAGGAGGAGGTGTGCAGTATGTTGTTATTTACCACTAGTGCGAGACAGATTTTTTCCTCAAGGGAACGTGGGTTCAGTGTTATTTCTTTCATGTTTTTCAACATGAAGTATAGCTGCTGTAGCTTTTACCTTGCCTTGCTTCTTCTTTTAAAAGGCGCATGAAAATAGTATTCTTTTATTTTTACAGGAGATCTCTTTTCTGTATAATTTCTATACTGTTTAGAAAGCTTCCATTCACTTTTTTTCCTACTGTCTTTCTTATTTTGCTGTGTTCTCTTCCCAATGCAAGTCTTTTGCCTGCTTATTCACTTTTATGCTTTTGCCTTCTATGGTTTATTTATTTGTACTTTTGTGGTTCTATTTCTCTGTTCCTGCCCATACTGGCCAAGCTCGGCCACAGTAGCTGTATAGAAACTGGCAGAGTCATTTTGAGATTTAGCCCAGGGCAGAAAAAGTTATGGATTTGACAAGTTTTTTGAAACTAAACTGAGTGAGAGAGACATGAGTTGAGAAATGAGAATGGACTGTAGAACCCTGGAATTCAAAGGGCTTCTTGTTTCTTTCTAGATAATATTGAAAACCAGAAATAACAAACACATGCAGTTTTCTTGTTGTTTTTTGTTGTTTTTTTTTTTTTTTTTTTTATTTTTTTTTTTTTTTTTTTTTAATATGTGTTTAAAACTGAATTCTCATTTTTTTCCCTCACTCATGATTGTATCTTCAAATTTTATGATGAATATTGGTCAGTTCTGCTCACACGTGTTCATGTAATTTAGCAGTAACTATTACATTCACTGCAGGCTTCATCTCTTGATATCACCAGAGTCAAATCACTAGTTTTGGTAAGACAAGATGAAAGGAGGACTCAGTTGCATATCATCAAGTAGACAGTATCTATCTGTTTGCTCTTACTCCTTTCTAAAAAGCAGCTCGCTGTCATGAAATGCAGAACCTTGATTGGTGTTCAGGGTTCCTGATTATCTCACAAATTAGTTTAATGCTGTTTGGTGACTTCTGAGCTGATGTTCTAACTTTCCTAATAGTTTTCTGTTACATTGTCTAGAAATATGCAACATTAACTGGCAGCTCCACGGCAGGTGGAGTAGGAAAGCCAAAAGTATGTAGTCAGCTGCTGTACTGGGCACTGTGAACTGTGTGTCTCACCAAATGAAAGTGAAATTATAGTACACGTAGACATACCGACACTAACCTTCATCCTATTTATCGGAAAAAGAAGAGTAATGAAGATTTTGTAGTTTGTGCTAACAGTTTGAGTACCCAGAAACCTGTGGGATTTCAAACTATACAGAAATCAATTATAAAACCTCCCTTCTACTACTGTTATCAGGATAAATGAGATTGTATGCTTAATTGGAATGCAGTTGTACTTTCATTTGATATAATATACCTTAGTCCTTATTCGGGGTAGCTGGATGGATTTTGCACATGTTTTACCTGATTTGCCTCCTACTATCTAAAACAATCTAAAATGCATAGAAAGTAGTAGAAACAGTAAGGGAGGCTCTCAAGTAGAGAACGCAAAAGGAACAGAAGAGTTTAACCGGAACATTCCCTCTGTCATGCTCAGTGGTTTGGATACACAACCTATTATAGATGATTCTGATTTTAGAATTTCTTGCCAGTGGAAAGGAATATACTCTAAGCAAAAAAATAAACTTTGCTTGTCAACATGTAGATTGGAATAAAAACAAGGTGCCAAACAAAAGCTGGCTGAAATGTCCATTGCATCTTTTGTAGTAAATTATTTTCTAATTGAAGTTCTATGCTTAAGAAAATGTTGAAGGCTCCATTACAAATGTAAATCAAAATATTCTGGTTTCCATAAAAACTCAAGATAATTGTAACAAATTTAAAAAAGGTTAAAATTGTTCAGTGAGCTATCCTGAACAGCAGTTATACTGACCATTTTGTAGAGGTATGTTTTGTAAATATATAGAAAAGAGTCTAATATTTATATTGTCCCTTGCTTTCATACTCTGCTAATTCTCTGTACGACCCTTTTCTGTAATTACTTGCCTTTCAATGCAGTGACATCTGGGAGCGTCCGTCTAGACCTTTTTCCCGAGATGTCATCGTTCGCTGGTTCAGAGAAGAGCAGATCCCTCGACGTGCTGGATTTGAGCGGAACGCCAACAGGATTGCTCAGTGGTTTCATGGTAATACACTGATCCTTCATTTCCAATAATAGAGCTGCAAGCATACACTCAGGAAATATATCTTGCCAGCTTTCATCACAAAAAGGAACGTCTGCTGACAGTGTGAAACCCAGAGGCTGTTAAAACAAGCTTTTTGCATCATTCCTATTATTAGCATATGATTTTCCCATTTTCTTTTTTCTGATTAAGTAGACTAATATGTGACTCATATCACCAAAGTTTTTTTCAGGAATATTCTGGCCAAAATATACTTGCTGTAAAGTAGGGAGCCAAGCAGGAGGAATGAGACCAAGATAGGGTGAGGAGGACTCCAAAATAAGCTGTAAATACTGTAGTGATGTGGAATGTGGATGACTGACATTCAAGTTTTTGCTTTATCTGATTTGCAAGAAGGGCTTAAACTCATGTCTCTTTAATCCCTGTTGTACTTTCTAAACCGGGGTAGCATTTTTTTCTTGCTTGCTTTCTTCTGCAAACAAAAATTGTTGAAAGATCTTGATTTTTCTCAGAAAGACTTGGCAGTGTATGATTGTAGGCAGTTTTCATTAAACAGGAAAAACAATTCCTGTTCAGATCCATAATTTGCTGTCATATCTGGTAGAGTTCTTAGCATCTCTGAGGTTTTTACACTGTATAGCACTGGCGATGCGGCTGAATCTTTGATATCAAATTCACAGGTAAGACATCTTATTTTCATGGGTATTAGCAATGATCTGTTAAACATGAAAAAAAGAATTCTAGCTTAATAGCTGACATAATTGAGGGACTGGGAAGGCTTAAAAGTTAAACCTCAGTATTTTTTCGTTGCTGCTGTTGGCGGAGTCTGATGTTTCTTTGTTCGAAGTGCTAAGCTGACCCTGATCCTGTTTTCATGGTTCTCTAAGCATGATGAAGATGTGTGGGCATTCTAAACTGAACCAGGCAAGAAAGTTTTCCTAACAGTTTTAGCATTTCATATATTTCAGATTTCTTTTTATGATACACAAACCTTATGTGTTATAAGGCATCAGCAAGCTGCTGTTTTCATTGGCTTAATTAGTCCAAGACACTGAAGTCAGTCATGAATAGCTTTTAAATGCTCCGTACCTCCATTTCTAATGAACAATGATGCAGACAGGGTGGCTTGTTTTCTTGCAAAATACATTTGGTGTGGTTTCTTTCTGAGAGACAAACTGATTAAAATTTCATCTGCGGGCATTTTTCAAAAGTATTTTCAGCCATGATCTTTCTGCGTGGTCCAATGGTAAATGTTTTCCCTGCCTGTGGGAAGTTCACATCCATATAAATTGACATGGGTAGCTATGAACATAATTCACGCCTGGAGTTAAGAAGGCATCTGGGCTTGAGCTAACACCTGTGCAGTCTTTCTACGAACTTCAGTGGCTTTTGGATTAGCCTGTTAATCACTGCAAGAGTTGAGGAATTCTTGATCTTTCTTTAGTTTCTCAGATCATGCCATTCACATCTTAAGCAACTGTGACTATCCGGTGACATTTATAGAAGTGAACAAAGTACCTCATCTGTCCTCCTCCCACCCAAGGAGCCTGACAAAGATAATGAAGATACATTCCCAGCACAAAGCTCAGTGATTTTCTTTGCAGAGATGCACAGAAATGCTGCTTTGGTGTGTATTTGTTGCGTTAGCTGTTTTAGCTTCTGCAGCTCTGGTCAGATTCGTGGTAACCCTTCGTGGACAACTTGACTCCCTTGGAACTCTTCTGGAGTAGTGGAAGCTAAACATCAGGTTGTTACGGATGCAGTAGTCAATGTTTTGTAGTGATATGTAGTGTTTATGTTACATTTTGTAATGCAGACACACTTTGAGGACAAACAAACAAACCAGAGTAAAATATTAGAAAGTATTGGCATACTTTAACTTCTTTTTTTCCAGAAAAAAAAATCACCTCTTCATTGAATTAGCCTCTAGTTTGGGGGCGGAAGGAGGTGGGGAGCGGAAGGCAACCAAAAAACTTCTGATTCAGCCAAAAATCTTTTTTTTATTCTTTGTTTAGTTCTTATTAAAATAAATATCATGACTTCTATTGTGTAGGCCTATTTAAGATTTTCTGTGTGTTGTTATTTTGTATTGTATTCAGGGAACGAGGACATATAAGTATGTGTTTTGTGTATGAACAAAAATACAGCAGAATGCATCTGACTTGTATAAGAAATTGGCAATACAAACGAAAGCCATCCCGCAAAGCCCGGCATTATGGCTAACCACTTGAGCCAATGGGGCAATAACATCACCATCATTTGGACAGGCGGACGTTCCTGTGGAAAGAACTGCTGCCTAGTGTTTAACGTTGTCTAGTATTATGATGATAGGTTCTTAAAACCTCAAGCATCTCTCAGATCAGGTCCTTCACATCCTTGAACAACTGCTGTATTTTCCTACGTCCCAGTTTCAGACCGTAAAAGGGGAGGATAACATTCCGCCTCACGTCAAGGGCTGTTTAAATGCAATGCACTAGGAATCTCACTTAGAAGGGCATCCTAGTGTTGCATCAAGAGGTATGAAATGTTTTTGTAAATCTGAATTCTGAACATGCTTTGCCAAGTTCTCAGTTGCTGGTACACTTTGAAAGCTGGGAAGTAATTTGGTGTTGGGGATGGGAGGTCTGTCTCTCCAAAGGACCAGAAATGGAGACACACTCATTGTTTTGGCCAAGTTCAACTTTCAACTGGAATTTTCTTTTCAAACCTCTGTGTGACCCATGCCAAGTAAAGGGAAAGATTACCAGCCTTCCCTGTGCGTTGAAGAGATTTGCCAAACTCTGTCACTGACATTAGCAAATTGTAGTTTTCAGTTTACTGCAGGCATAGGACAGTGGGAATAGAATTCCATATGGCAACAAAACTAGAGGTCTCTTCCTCCCGTAAGGATTTAACAGAAAGATGCTGGTGGCTGAAACAGGTAATATTCCCAATGTTTGCTCTGTCTTTCATTTGTCCTTTAACCGTTCTCTTTCGCTTGAAATCTGTTTCAGTGTATGTTTTTTCCCATTCTCCCTGGTTTGTCAGCTGTTACTTGTGATACTTTATATTTTTTTTTAACTTCAGATGTTAGGCTTGGCGCTCTCACATATTCTGTTCTGCATTTGGTTATCTTCTGTTCAGAACACAGGAGAGTGTAGCTGTTTGCAGGGGAGGCTGATCTCTAAATATTTTCCCAGCTTTAGTTGAGACCAATGTTTTAGGATTGTTGATGTTCTTTATCCACGATATAAGAAGGATCTCTGATCTGTATAGTGAGTATAATACGGTATGGCAAAATGAGGAATCATTGCCTGTCTGTGAGGCGGCTGTATGCGTCTTTGCTGAGCATCTACTGGAGCACTGTCAGGTCTCTACTTGCCTGCAGGTTGAAAGGAAAGTTCAGAGGCTGATATCACAGATCTAGAAACATGAGGCTAGTTGCCCTAAAGGTTATACCTTTAAAATGTGATTGCAGTAGCATGGTTCCTATTGTGGAGATCTATTTTATCAAGGGAGGTCGGTGCAGTCACTGGCTAAGGGAGTGGCAAGCTGTGCAGGAGCTGATCAGAGCAAGCTGAAGGATGGATTGAAAAATGCTGAGAGAAGCAGAAGCTGAATAGTCCCTGAGGTCAGGGGAGCCAGGGAAGTCAATTTTCAGTTTAACAGGGTCAGGTTGCAAATGTTTATAGATTGAGGTTTAATTTCAGATAGCTAATATTGTTTTCAGGAAGCAACTTGTTTTCAAGAAGAATATCTAGCGTGCCTGAATAGTGACAATGGTTCTGCAAATCAGATGCTCTCAGTAAAGGCTTCAAGACAATATTTCTGAAAGTCTGCTAATTTTGAGTCCTTGAACAGCAGCGGCAGCACTGGGCAGATTGGTGTAGCTGGACTGTGGGGAGATGTATCTTATAAAATACAGCCTGTAGTGTAATGTTTTCTAAGGGACACAGAAATGGCAGTGGTTTAATTTGAAAAACATCAAACAGTGAATACAGTTTGCTGCTTTGAACACAGAAGAATACTTTTTCTTCTGCTCTTGAAGAAGAACCTTCCTAATCATTTAGTAAATGCATGTTAGGAAGATGTAAAGCAAGTGGTATAAAGCCAGCAGAATTACAGCCTTCTGAATATTAATGATCTATTTCTAATTCACCGCGTTATCATTACCTGGCTTTTACTTCTATTTGAGAAGTTTGCACAGATAGATTCTCTGCTTAAGTAAACTGAACCCCAGGGGTCTGGGATTTTCTTTTCCCTTCTAGAATTGTTGTTGATGGGGTACTTGTTGAGGAAAAGATAACAAGATCTTGTTAAAAATCTGAATTTGTTGAGAGCTTTTGCCCTGTCTTCCACAGGTCTTGAAAGACGCATCCAAAAAATAGCTATGTGCAAAGCTTGCTATCTGAAACATCCTGTGACTGGGAAACATCTGGAATGGAATCAGAGAATTCCTGACTCAAATGGTACAAACAGCTAAAATAATAGTTGTCACCTACAGTGTACCTGTTACCTTGCACACATTTGCGGGATGGCTCTGGATCTCTGCAAGCAAAAGAAGGGGAACTGTGAGATTAAAAAAAGAGTTACAGAATATCAAAATTTATTTTGAATAATTGTCTGGGAAAGATTAGAAAAAGAAGACTTTCATGATGATAGGTTTACAAGAGACTGTGTCTTACCCTCTTTCTCAAAAAGGTAGGTTTCTTTGCTCCTGCTCTGCCAACCTGCTCTCAAAGAGAGAGGGCTGACACAGCAGTGATCAGCAGTTCGAGTATCTGTAGACCTTGTGGCTTGTGGTTGCTGCAGGCGTGCACCCAGGCTGACACAGGCTGGTAGCTATTGCCACGTGCTTGATTTTGTGTAAAACAAGTAATGTAATAGTCATTTCGTGTTAATCATCATTCCTAATCTGCATGGATCTCTCCAAAAACATTGTTAGGAATGAGTGCTACCTTTGGGAATCGTGGCAGGAAGAACAGATACGGAACAAGCTTGGACACCAAATTACGCTCTCTTCA